TAATGTAATAGTATATTTTGAAACACTGCAGCAGCCTAACCTTCCTTACTAGCACCACTTAAAGCTCCTTAAATATTAATGAAAAAGCAATGTAGACATTTACAGGGACTTACTACACATTACTKCTAWCTCCTAGAAAACAAATAGYAGCAATAACACTAAGATTTTACAAATCTCTTGATGCATTTAAMCTTTGAGGTGTGTATGCAGAGAAAMGAAAGCAGAAAACTATTTGATTTGCAGTAATGAACTAGTATGGAGATATTCCTTTCAGGAATAGCAGTATATTAAATTTCTCTTTCATAGCAGATTCACTMCAGAAAATTTATACAAATATACATTTCTCCCAAAAGCAAACAACTAAGGAGTTCTTAAAAATATATGTAGAGATCTGTACTACTAAGATTAATATGGAAACAGTAAGGATCCTACTGTAACACCTTTTTACATATTGGGCARCAGTGGGGGTGTCCCTTAATTCAAATACGCAATTTATCCAAATTACCCCAAAAAACTATCTGCATGCAGAGTAAATTCATGACAAAACAGAAACTTCAGTTTGGAGAGGAACAAGTATATGTAAAATTGGTCTTTGGAAAAGCAGTACAGGTTTCCAGAACTAAACTTTGACTTGGGTTGATTATTTTACTTTTTTGCATCTTCAGTACAGATTTCCCATTTGTTAAGGATGTTTTTTCTGCACTATAACTGCAGCTAAAAAAGGGAAATATTCATCTGAATGTAAATCWTAATTTTCACAGTCTCACAGATGAATGAGGATAGTCCTGCCTATAGATGAGGAAGATACCCTAAGAAGGAATTATAATACTGAATTAAGTCAGTAATATAGATACTGAATACATCAGAGGATAGTTCAAGTATCTCATTTAAAATAAAGCCAAAGTTTAAATATCTTGCTGAGATTGACCCAAAAGAGTCATACCTAACCACCAAAATTTTAAGRTAAGAATACTTGCTATCATCAACCATAATTTACCAAACTCCTTGTGTATTCTTTTTGCAGCCCATTATGTTCCTGACAACAGGTTGTAATGACAAATTCAACATCTTGCTTCTCACAAAAAGTTCTCAATTTTTCTACCTGTCATGTAATACCAGTTCACTTCTACTTTTTTAGAAAGAAATAATTCCCTTATACTGTATTTCATCTCACAGGATGAAAAACAGTAGTCACCACGTCCTTTTCAGTGATGTTTCAGATGCTGATGCAAGCCTGAACACATTTCCTCTGTACAGTTTCTTCTCTTCAGATTTCATCATTGAAACAGAAGGTACACTGGTTAATTAAACAGATCCAAGACTCATTTAAATACCACAGATCCTCCTATTTATTTGGAAGAGATTTCAAAACAATTTCTTATTTCTATGACTGTTTTCAACTGAGAGGAAACTTAGTAGGMAAAACTTATGCTTGCTCCAATAGTGAGAAATATTAACAAATAAGCATTAATCCAAAATTTGCTCATGAGTTCTCAATGGCCTTCCTAGATGGCTCTAGGAAAGCACAGTAGGAAGAATGGAGGTTCACAGTGCAGAAATGTATATTCATTACAAAATTCCTGCCAAACCTTCTTACCACGGCCACAGTTTCYGTGTCTGTGACAGTCACTTCACTCTGACGAGGATTCTGGGCCTGTTAACTTTTCCTTAAGGTACTTACTCTTGGAAGTTTGAAAAACTCTACAACAAAGTTGCTGAATGTCAGAAAACAACATTTGTATGACACTTTAGTGCTCCCTATAAATACCAATACTCCCTACCACCTGTTAAGAACATTTACTGCTCCCTCACACTGGYTTACCTCAATTTTTCCTGGAACAGTAAACAAACCCCTGCACATTGGGCACTAAAACTAGAACTGAAAACAAAATTAACTTCTCTCAGTACATTTGAAAGAGGATATACAGAACAATATTCTAATTGATTTTAGTTAGTTATATAATTGTTTACTGATGAGGGTGATGAGACACTGCAATAGGCAGCCCAGAAAAGTCGTGTTCCCAGTCAGGCTGCACAAGGCTTTGAACAAGATTTATTGAAAGATGTTTGTGCCCRTGGAAGCAGCCTGGACTAAATGGTCTTYAAAGGTACCTTCCAGCCCAAAYTATTCTATGTCCTTTYAGTTGTTTCAAGCAAAAAYRCTCRCCACCCACCMYAGTAGAACCAYCAGCACCATGGGGATGTTTGCAGAGTTTCGGACTGTCTTGCTAAACACACATGAGAAGCAGCACTGCTGTCTCAGTTTTTGATTCCTGATCTTAGACTGAGATTAGGACTATAAAACACATGAACCTTTTAGATTGATTGGAAATTTTTAGCTGTGTGTCAAAACAAAATGCTAGCATTAAATCTGTATTTTTCTCTAAGACTAGCAACAGTAGGAATGAATGGTAGGCTGGAATTTATTTTATATTATGAAAGCCACAAAATGTGAGAAATTCCTTATGAACTGCTACTCTCCAAGATTCCAAAGCTAACAGAAAATTATTTGTTTTCATAATTCTGGCTTCACAGTGTTAACATTAAAACAATTTGTGACGATCAGGAAAATCTCTTAAACATTTTTCCATATTTCTGCAATTGATTCACTCATCAAAACCAMTTACATATGTTATGCCTGTTTCCATAACCCTCTTTTCCCTTTTCAGAATAATAGTTCTGCTACAAAACAAACACCACTTTTACAGCTTCTTGAAGAGATGAGATGACCAGTATCCAGAAAATAAGTGAAACTGGTAGTTAAGACATAAAAATGCTTTAGTCTCTGGTAGGAAATTATATTTTGTATTTATTTAGTAAAGAGGCAATTAAAAATTATTTTTTCTTGACTCCCACACAKGCAATATTTGTCCCAAAATCTAAAATAGAGAATTTCTTTCAGCTACTAGGTTGCAAAGTTGGTTTTGTTGATTTTGCTGTTTTTATGAGTCACCTTTCTAGTCAGACATTGAATTCCCAAATGCATTRATACTTCACAAGGAAAGCTAGATTTCAAATATAGCAATTTAGAACAGGACTTGGAGAAGTTACGAAAAAAAAGACAAAAAATTTATCTGCAGGCTCTGACACAGCAATAGCTCCGATGGAGCTTTTTCAGTAAAGCACTGAACTTTCTTCCCTCTTTTTCAAATATCAAATGATACAGAAAGATTCTATCCACATCCATGGGATATTGGTGAGCTAGGCTTTTTGTTCTTATATGCTCTGAATGAAAGACTAGGTTTATGAACCAGCTTAAAATGTAAGAAATTAAATTCTCACTCCCTCTGAGTGTGTTCACTGCCTACAGTAGTGTTCACACTAATGGTCCTAGAAATCTGCTACTGAGATGTGTTAAAGATATTAACTGTTGGATTTGTAGAATATTTTACACCAGTTTAGAAAAGCTTCAGAGCATTCTATCTGATTAATAAAACAGTAAYTAACAGAATGGCTAAGTGATGTGGTTTGGGCTTTTTTTTTCCACTGACAGACACTATTCCAAGACACAAATGCCCCTTCCAGGCAAATATCTGTTTAAGTCCTGACCCATAATTCTGCAACTACATTTGTCTTGCAAGACAGTGATACGCTCCACTGATAAGGCTGATGGCAGCTCTTCTGCCCARTACAGTACATTTCATTGCAGACTGCTAAATTAACTTCTGTCTRAGAAAAAAAWAWAAATAMAAAAAAGAGAAGGCTCAAACAAAATTGATCRTTCTCAAGTTTGTATTTAACAGATTGATTTTATGTGAATTTATGTGAACAAAGTTTAAATAGTCAGCATTAAACTGACAGCATTTCAGGAAAAAGGAATAAAGCTAAATTGAATGCAAGAATCGGGACCAGCAACTGTGGGACATRGCAACAWTTGGGTGCAGAATTCTGCCTATTASAGAAACTGAAATGCTAAATGGTCTCCAGACTTTTGAGGATGATGATGTGTCTCCTTTGACCCTTCAACAATGCAAATGCTGGAGTGACTTGATGTAGCCATCAATACTGATGCAGGTGAACAAAATCTAGTGGAAGGCAGTCGTTAAGCATGACAACACAGTCACAGATGTGAAACAGATTTAATGGAGAACTATTGCCAAAAATCTCCGTTCTCCTCAGAAAGGGTTCTAGTAGTCTCCTGTACTGATAGACTTCAACAATCTAGAGGCTTTTGTGGCTTGAAAATGCTCAAGACGAGGTAACATTTAAAAAGAGAAATACTGTAAGATTCCCAATAAGAACAAGTCAGTAAATCAGAGCAGCAGAAGCTGAATATTGATGATGACAGATTCACAAGGAGGAAAACAAGTTGTCATGAAAAATGAAAAGGACTTGTTTCAGCATAATAGCAATAATTTTTTCTCTTCTACACACTTAAGCCAATGGACAAAACTGTGAAAGCGCTTGATCAGAGCTACAAATTTAGCCAATTCACAGGTGATTATACTTCAGATTAGTTTTTGAACAACAAGRCTTTGAAAACCCTAAACTGCCTAATTTTTATCAAACTAAGAGTCAGATTCTGAGACAGAACATTCACATTCACATGAGAAATGAATAGGTGCTTCTTGGCTTCTAACATAAAAAGATCGGGAGTAAAACAGAAAGGAAGTAACCTGAACAAAAGCCAGTCCTTTAATAACTGCAGTAAGATATTCCTTCCCACAACTCTAATCATAAAGCTACAAACCTAAACTTTGACCTTTCTTGTTTTGCAAGGATGTAACTTCTCCACAATCAGAGCATGAAAGGAAAACAAGAAACTACATTTTCAGGGCTAAAGAATACGAGTTCAGACCTATCTAAATAAAACTTCAGCTATTTAGTCCAAATGAGCAGACTAGGGAAATTAACTTTGTCAGAAAAAGTAAGAATACTGAACAATTTTTATTATGGTCATGGCTTCTCTTAACATTTCATTTAGTTTAAGCATGTCAAAGAAACTTCAAGATCAAAATTTCAAAGATGAAAGAATCACGTTATACAGAAGTACCACTTACCCACAATAACAAATCCATCTGCTTCTCTCTCTGGCACTGTAACCTTCTTTGAATCTTGACTTTTTCGGAAGAAGCTGAACATTGTCTCTATGGGTTCTTTTTGTCTTCTAAGGTGTTATCTAAAATGAAGACAGAACATGTTAAATAAATATTTGATAATAGAACTTACTCTAAGTTCACATAACAGAATTTACCATAAATACGCAGTCAGGCTACATACCTAATACTACAACTTAATCTTTATTACTCAGTTTGAACTATCAGGGACACACTATGTATGTGTCAGATAGATTATCTTATTGATGTAGCAATTTTACTTCAATATGTAGAAGAGCATGAAGTACAACAGGCTTATATACAAAGTTATGAATGGAGTGGAATCAATTAAAAAAAAAMAAAMAAACAATTTCAACTTTTCTAAATGAAAATTACTGAAAAAACTTTCCGCATTTATCCAGAATGTTTCCATGTTTGTCTGCTACTTTGTATTGTTATTAGACAAATTTTCTCCTCAAAGATAGTGGTAACTATTTTAATTTTTCCCGTTTACAATCTTAAAGACAGCCTAACAGTTGTATATATTTCATTAACAGTTACCACTGATTTCCTAAAAAGAAACTGCAGCAACATCATTTGTAGCAATTGTTTCCAACAATAATTTATTACGGAATCTTGCAAGGCAGCTAAGAACTACATTGCTACAACAAAACAAGGAAACAKTTGGGATAAAAACATGGACTGCCAAAGAAAATGCTCAGTATATTCTTTCTCTCGGGACTGGAAGATTACACAGAAGCAACTCTGAGTAGCTTACAAAGGACAAAGTCATTCTGAAAACCCGTGAAGAGACCCATGAAGGTCCCTTGAAGGCTGAACTTGGACCCCTGGACAACATCAGCCTAAGGAGCAGCCTGTGGYCTGGCTGAAACACATCATGTGCTGGACACAAAGAGGAAGGTTTAAATAAGGGCAGTGAAGATCTTTTCTACTAAAATATCCACATAAAATTAGGAAAAGAGGAATAAYGTAATTTTAACTTCAAAGCAGAATTCTGATTTATTTTGCAAACATCAACACGTTAAGGAGATGGGACTGACAAACCGATAGCAACATCTGATATACACCTCCAAAGAGGAAAGGACTCCAGGGTAAAGAATAAAAAGGAATACAGTGTCAAGTTTCAACAACATTATTTCACACTAAATTTAACAAAGCAGAACCTTTAGAATGTGGGAGAGAATGAAGAGTGCTATGGTGAAATGTGCAGATTTAAAAACAAAACAAAACAAAACAAAACAAAACAAAACAAAAGAACGATAAAACTCCTGACTTAACTATTTGCTGGAATTCTTCACTCCGCACCCAAATAGTCGTAGTACCAAAACCAAGACTTTTTTTTTTTCCCTGGCCAGGGACCCGTGGCAACTCAGCACTGGCTATTCATATAAACTGCCTAAAACTCTGCTGTTACAAGTGATCACACGCTCCAGAAAGTCTTGTACAAAGTGTAAGCACTGGCTTTCAGGAACAGTGTATAAATAGATCATGGCAAAAGCAGCAACTATTCAAATTGTGCCCTGATACCTGAGACTTGGAGACTGAATACCCTGCAGCCCGGCCAGCTACTGCTTGCTTATGCTGACACAATGCAACTTCTAGCCACCAAATAATGTACACAAGAACGGAACAAACCGTTCTGTGATCCAATACCAGACATATAATAATTTCTTAAAAATGTAACTTAACTGCACTTTATTACTTTTTGCTTATTTTCTTCCCTTAGCWAAAGAAATACTGATATTTCCAGTTCCATGGAGATTACACAGTAGAAATTCCTAATTATCTCATTTATTCCCTACCTTCCCCCACACCCAGGCTCAACACATGGCGCCAGCAGCATATTCCTTTTTCAGCCCTCAGGGAATAAGTCTTCTCCTGCTACCAATTAGGGTTGTCAGTCCCATAGCTCAAGTGGTAAAAACCTGTGCTGTAATGCTCAAGAGTCAGGTTTCTGCTCCAATGATGTATGAAGGAGAGGCAGTTGTGGAACAGTTTAAAATGCAATTTTGCCTTCATCCTAAGTGTGCAACAACAAGAAGCAAAATCAAGTTGATGTGCAAAATCTTACASATAGCTTTGGTAAAGGCTCAGATTCCAGCCAGTCACTTCAGGTGCCAGAGCTGCAGTTGCTCCAATCACTTTTTTTTCTCTTTTGAGATCTGCRTTATTGTACAGTTTTCAGCTCTATCACATAATGTCCCCCTTCCCCTCTTTCTTGCACAAAGAAAAGCATCTTAATCAGTATATACATGACACAAAAGACTTGTATAGGGAACCATGCACTTGTAGCCTTTTAAATCCTGCATACTTAACATACCTAAACTTCACTGCTTAAAAGACAATAGGCGTTTAAATTCGGAGTAAATTAGCAACCAGGACAATTTGATCTAGCCAAATTAATGTTACAAGCACGTTCACATATTAGATTTTTTATTTTTGTTGACAGCATCTCAATTTTTCTAAAACCCACAAAATTCATCGTATCTACATACACAAGCATTGATCTTTGGAATTTTCAGTTTCTGAAGCAGCTTGACTTAATTCCACTGCCAGCAGTATTTCTCTAACATAAAACAAAACAGAAAACCAAAACCAAACCAAATCAAAATCAAAACCCACATATAGTTTGCTTGAAGTAGAAAACCAAACAAAATTAACAAAAGTATGTCCTAAGCTCAGGCATCAAGTCCATACACTGTTAAAATCACTGGTCCAGCACTAAGAAAATAGTACATGCTGTATTTTGTGACTATGAATGTGGGGAAGGGTATAAAATACACATATTAAAAAGACTCACATGTTTGCTGAGGCAACGTTTCCTTCTCTAGGGACCTCTTAGAAACAAAAGTTGTGCTTATAGATATTTTAAGGTATGTGAAGGAAAGAGTTCACCAACAACTACTTTCAGCATTTCAGTAGCTTTATTGAACACACTACTAAGTATAAACTAAATAACAAAGAATAACTAACAAAACAGAAGCGGGGCACAGAAACAAAAATCAGAGCTGCATACAGTACAGCATAGGTACAAGAAAGGCTGTAGATAGGCAATGCAGGGGCATTTGTGATATTTGYTCTTTTAAGAATTTTATCAACTGTGCTACTTCAAAAGTAAACATAAATCTCCCCAGCAACGGGAAATGCAACCACTAAATTTCTTGAATCACATGTTAAAAACAGAACAAAGCCCCTATCCAACAAAGAAACAGAGAGCTGAATGGAAACACTCGTGCTCTTCAAGATAAGAACACAGTTTTAAGCACTTGCAGAATCAGGCTGGAGTTTTACTACTTGTAGATAAGATGAGGTTTCAGGTAACGAAAGCTCAGAACCACCAGTTTCTTACAAGTTTCATTTCAAAGTAAAAATTAAATTTGAAGTTTGGGGACCTGGATGCATGGTCACTTGATGCATAGACTTGAGAAAAAAAGCACTTAGTTGTGTTTTTTTTTTTTTTAAAGCTGTCAGCACAAAATCAAGAAAATACACCCACCATTCAGAGATAGTACCACATTCCCGCAGTCATTTCTCCTATATAGCACAGCACTTTCCCCTTCCAGATGGGATTAATTTTATTTCTATAGGAGACCTGAAATTGAATTCACTGCCTAAAGATAAAAATCTCCCTTGGTAGGAATATGCAATTCCCTTCCTCCTCATGTTTCTCTCTCACAAAAAAAAGTGAATACAATCACTGATAGTTAAGAATAATGCTTTTGGCATGGCTTCAGTCATTAGCAAATAATAAGCTCTGAGCTACAGCAATTCTGTGAGGCTGCAAAAAATATTTTGTCTTTCTGTGAGGCTCTGAGAACATACGTGGCACTGGACACAGATGAGTTACAGAGCTGCACAAAGGGGWTAATTTATTCCTCCTGCATTTTGTCAGTCTCCTTTGACAAGAACTATGGGCGACCTTTGAGCCAAACCAATATGTTAAATCMAATAAAATTTTTCTATACAATAAAGATCTTAGTATATTTGCCATTACTTTTCAGCCTTTCCTGAATGTTCACAATACTGGGGGAGAGTCATAATTTAATATTAAAAACAACAAAGATGCAGAGTAARATAAAGAGACAATGCCCAGGAATAGAGCAAAGCAGAATTGCAGTGGCACTGCCAGTAATTACATAAATGATGAAATGAGGACAGAAGACACAAAACTGACCTTAAAGAAAGTACCAGAACAATTTCACATCTAGCAGTTTAAGATATATAATCTATGGAAGAARAAAACAGAGAGCATCAGAGCAATTCTCACTTCCATATTACCATCTGCTGTGATTCACCAATAAAGCAGCAATCRGAAAAAGAGCAAGATGTTTACAGCCCTGTACAATCCTTCTTATCATGAAAACAACCAATGTAAGAGTCAAGAATCTGCATGCTGAAAATATTTCTGTGACACCAAAAGAACAGTTTAAAAGCTTTTGGCCTAGTCAAAGTTAGTATGTGAAGAAGAAAAGAAAGACATAATTTCTTTTCTCTGGCATTGGCATTAGSCATGATTCTTTAGTTTGTATTTCTTGAAAACAGAATAATGGAAAGTATCAGAAGAAACCAAATTTTTTTTAAAGGGATATATGTATAATGCAACATTAACMAAGATTTTTTTTCTGTATTTCATAAAATGTAAGTATTTGTTTTTAATGTTTTTATAAAATTTAAGAAAATCAGAAATACAAGAACTATACAGCCCAAACTACTATAGAAACACTTGAAGAAGCTGAATCATAAAAAAAATCAGCCACAACTAAGTCAAATAATAAAAGCACAGGTGACAAAAGCAAAGCCAGGTGTGAAATAACAGCACTCAAACTGATGTAAACATTAAAACCCCTGCAGACAGAAAATGCTAAGAGAGAAAGCTAGGTGTTAATGAGACACAATACTTGATAGGCTGAAACCTMCTGTTTTCCCTTCGGACAATTTTCTCTTGAATGCAAACCTTCAACAGCTGCTAAGTGTGATACAGACACGCATTTGTAAGAACTTGTACAACATGTTTTTCTAGCMGCTGACCCTTCAAACCCTTCAGCCCTGAAAGGGCCCTGCTGCACCTTGCTCCAACAGCTACATTTATGAGATCTCTCCTTTCAAATCTCTGAAGATATGCTATGGAGATGAGGATATTCTCTTGCAAATAAAATACTGAAAAAGTGAATGTCACAGTGRCACTGAGGGGATGACAACCAGATAAATCTCATGTAAGATTTAACTCCCGTGCCTCCCTGGTCACATGCTGGTTCTGAACAGCTTCTGGAAGTAGTTTGTTTTCTTGGCAAACTGACACAAGCTACTGCCAAATAATAACACTAACCCRGCCAACTAACAAAAAACACTTTGTACTGGTTAGCAAGCTGAACTGACCCACAGGCTGGTTAGAAGAAACATGGGCAGTTTTGTGACTGCCCTTTTAGGACAGAGCAGAGTTAGATTTTCCTAAGTATTTCCTGAAACACCACCTGGAAACAAAAAGGAAATAATGGAACCACAGAATGGATGCAGTTAGAAGGCCACCTTGTCCAACCCCTGCTTAAGCAGAACTGTTGTATAGAGGTCCTTAGTTCAGWACCATAGTCAAAAGCCACCTGGGTATCTCCAAGGATGGAGACCCCACAACCTCYCTGGGCAACCKGTACCAGTGCTKGGTCACTCTCACAGTGACAGAAGTATTCCCTGATGAACCTTCCCTGATCTGCCCATTTCACTGGGCACAACTGAATAGAGCCTGTGCTCTTTAYACCCTTCCTTCAGGTATTTATATTCATTAATAAAAGCCCTCTGAGCCTTCTCCTCTCTAGCCCAAACAATTAAAGCTCTCTCAGTTCTTCCACATGTATGAGATGCCCTCGTAGCCAGCACTCCAGGTGTCTCACCAGTGCATGGCAGAGGCAAGCAGCAGCTCTCTCTACCTGCTGGCAACACAATGTCAAATGCAGAGTGGGATATGTGAGTCACCTTTGCCATGAGAGCAATCAGGAGGAACCTCTCCATGCCAGGGACAGCCCAGGAAAGCACCTGGAAAAAGGCAAGATGCATGGCAAGTGCCATGTCCAGATGCTATGTCTGTCTTACATCCATAACCTGTTCTAAGCCTGCAGATTGAGCACCAGCTCTTTAATGAYGAAATAAAATGAAATTAAATGAATAGAATAGCTTACTTGGAAAGAATCTACAGYGATCATCTRGTCCAACTGCCTGACCACTTCAGGAGGATCAAAGCTAAAGTATGGTTATTAAGGACATTATCCAAATGCCTCTTAAATGCTGACAGGCTTGGGGCACCTCTCTAGAAAGCCTGTTGCAGTGTTTGACCACCCTCTCAGTAAAGARATGCTTCCCTGTGTCCATCTGAAYCYCTCCTGGTRCAGCTTTAAATCATTTCCACACACCCTGGGATATCCACTGGATGCCAGGGAGAAGAGATCAGCAATCCCTCTCCACCTCCCCTCCTCATGAAGCCGCAGARAGTGATRAGGAYARCCCTCAGCCTCCTTTTCTCCAAASCAGGCAAACTCTAAGTCCTGAGCTGTTTCTCACAGGACACCAGCTTTAACTCCCTCCTCTGGAGCCGGCTGCAGAGCCCGTAACTACACAGATTCCAGGTGAGGCGCTGATTACAGCGGGATGATCACCTCTGTTTGCGCTGGCATTGATGGACCCCAGGATGCCTTTCGCCCTCTTGGCTGCCAGGACACGCWGCCCAATTACAGTTTAGGGGAGCCAGTATCTGAAGGGAGAGGGAACACGGCGGGGAGGGGAAACACGGGGCTGTTCAGAAGAGTTAAAAGACAGGCCGGGGCTGGAAGCTGACGGCCGGCTCCCGCGGCCTTCCCGGGCCTCGGCCCCGCCGCCCTCCCCGCCGCGGCAGCCTGGAGAGCCGCCCCTCCATCACCCACCCGCCCGCTGCCGTCGCCGCTCTCACCAGCCTCCGCCTCCGCTTCCGGGTCGCCTCGGGCTGAGGGGAAGTTCCGCCCCGACCGCTCCGTTCCCGGGGCCGCCGTCCCTCCCTCCCTCCCTTCCTCCCTCGGCGGAAGGCGGGAAGCGGCGCTGGCGATGGGCGACATCCACGAGGTGCCGCGGCCGCGCATCGCCACGGGRCAGGTGGCGCAGCACATCGGGCAGCCCGTCTGCTTCGTGGGGCGCGTCGAGAAGGTGCGTGGGGCGCTCCGAGCGGGGACGCGGCCGCCCTGGAGCTCTCTGGAGGCTCTGGCGCCGTCCCTGGGGCAGCTCGGCCTGGGAGCACGGCGGGGGCCGAACGGAGCTTTGCGGGAAAGAACTGGCTGAGGCGCCAAAGCTGTGATGCTTCCAGGCGCCTTTGGAGCGCACAGGCCTAAAAGTCTTTTGTGGACTTAAAAGTTCTTTTACAGATCCATCCTTCTGGGATGTCTTTCTTTTGTAGATTCATCCCAGTGGGAAGCTTGTCGTGCTTTCGGATGGACTCGGAAAGCATACGACTGTGGAGCTGAGCGAGCCTGTAAGTTAAGGAGTGATTTGGAAATACTTGATGTCGCCTCCTGTGGATTCCGGAGATTTTGTCTTTTCTGAAACCTGTATATGCCTTCCATGTTTTGAGCTTTCCGCTCTACTTCACTGCTTCTATTTCTTGCATCTTTCAGCTAACCCGTAATCTACTTATCCATGAGCTGCCTTGGTCTTCCTCAGAGACAGAACTCATTCCTTGTCAGACACATCCCTGTCTGGCTATTTTCTCTTAACTCTATTTGTTGTTCACAGTGAATACATTCCACTACATTTATTAGCTTTATTGCAATTTCACTCTCTCCTCCCATTTTCTTATTGCTCTTACAATCAAAAAGAATATGGTGTTTTCAAGGGTTTTTTAAGGTAACATTGCTAGATTGTCTTAGTGTCATAGCATTTCAGTAAAMTCCATAGTTAACTTGAAGCATTCCTTTTTAAAAAATCCCAGTTAATGCAATGGCTATAATTAGAACTAGTGAATGAAAGTACTGCTTCCTTTGTTATCACCTACCACTGAAGGAATAAAACTTTAGCATTCTCTTCTAAGTATTTTTTCCACCACTTAATTACAACATTAGTTGAAAGAATTATTTTAATTGTGATGGCAAATGCTCTAGCTTGAGTCAGCGCATGTGTATATTTACATCAATGCTGGGAAACGATGCCACTTCCATGAAAGTAATTGCATGTGGTACTCTCTCAGTCTTTCAAGAAAAGAGTCTGTTCTTGTTGATGAAAAATGCAGTGTGATCTGGAAGAGCTTTGTCTTATAAATCTGAAGATTGCTGACTTCAAACTGCAACAAAATGTCTCTTACCTGTGTTTTGAGTTTGTGAAACTTTTCCTACCTTGGGTTTTTAAAAATTCAGATGTTATCATCTGACCAATGATTCTGTCATGTTTTCTGTAATAGTGTAASTGGTTGCATTCCATAAATGCAAAGCTGTAGTGCTGGGTACTTCAATCTGTGTGTGTTCCACTGCCCTGGGAGAAACGAGGCCAAGTTCATCTCTCCAGTTCACCCAAATGTCAGTGGGGAAACTTATAGATTTGCTAAGCAAAATGCTTTCTAACTTATTTCCCCTTCAATATACTTCTGTTTATGCATGTATAGTTCCGTCTTTTAACAGAGAAACCCAAAGTTACGGGGAGGGAGTTATTCCAGAAGACTTACTAGGAAGTTAAAAGTAAGACTTAGATATTGGAAGAACATTACTGAAATAGTACTGCATTGTTAAAATTTGTATCTTAAAAAACAAAACATTCAAGTGATATTATTTGGGAGTAAGATATAATTTTTAGCCTTTTTTTCCTTTGTTCAACCAAAGGCTTCTTAGTGTCAGTATCTTTGTATTCTGGACACTTACTGACAGATTACTTATGAAATCATTTCCAAATATACCTCCTGAATGTGGAGGAACTGCTGGAACTGGAACTGCTCTCTGGAATGTATGATACCTCCTTAGGTCTTRCAGAGTTTTATAATTGACACAGGTTTGAATGCAGTGCATTAAAATCAGAATTGTTCTGCTATCTCTGTCCTAGATTAGTCTCCGTTCAGTGATTAAATGATAGTTTTATATACTTATAAACCGGTATCTTCCCTCAGATACTTTTTTTTTTTTGGTTGGCATTGAATTGGCTGTTACAAAACCTGCAAATCTCTAAGACGATTGAGGCGTTTGTGGATTTTTTGGCAGGGAATGTGACAGGGCTATTCAGTAGTACTATATTGTTTGACATGGAACAGAATCTGACATGAACAAACCTTCAGTTGTGGAAATTTCATAGCTTAAGTTCTGTGCAGTGAAGACAGCTGATACTAAATCCATCTTTGGTGTGTTTTCTAGCTAGATGAGGAGATTTCAGGAGTTCTTGAAGTGGTGGGAAGAGTAACAAATCAGGCAACCATCATGTGTGCATCATATGTCCAGTTCAGAGAAGATAAAAGTACATTTGGTAAGTATGAGTATATGTTATGACAAATTAATTTTGGGTTCTGAACCCCTCTTCAGTAAGTAAGAATGGAAAGCCTGATTACCGTTCCTTACAGACAAGGCCTTTCTTCAAGGTGCCAGATAAGAAGTAGGGTGTAGAAAAAGTTCTGTACCAAATAGAGTGGTTTACAGTTAAACTGTAGGGAGTGACTCAAAGCTAGAGCAAGTCTAGATCTGGCTGTGGCCTGATTGTTCTCTCACTCCTGACCACGTGGTTCTCACTATGCCCTGAACCTTGTGTGGTTGTGCAGCTAGCAGGCCTAAAAATAACCCTCCAGAGAACAAGCAGTGAGTGTGCCTGCCTTGGGGAAATGTGAGCTTGAGAGAGAGTGGGATCACTCAGCTATAYTGCTTTAAAATAAGCAGTACTTGAATGTTGTCAGTGACTTGTAGGGAATTTAGCTTATGCACTGTAACCATTTTCTTTRCCCTTTTTCAGATCTGGAACTCTACAATGAAGCACTAAAAATTATTCATGAATTCCCTGAATACTTCCCATTTGGTACTGGAAGAACTTGATTTTTATTAGCATATATTTAGAGCTTCAGATGGGACAACAGTAGTGTGGTTTCTGCCTGACAGCATGGTAACAGTTGCATTYATTTTCAGCAAATATACTGGACACTGTTACATGTGCTAAGTATTGCCAATGAGGAGTATTTTCTTTGCGTATGTATTTATTCAGCAAGGAGAACGCTTCTATGAATGTCTCACTCACTGTATATATTTAACCCTTTTGCATCTATGAGACCTCGTGCAAGGTTGGACTTAGCAGAAACTGAAATTTTGTAAGCATCCTTTTTTAGTTGGTCGAGGTTCTATGATTACAGGAAATTCGTACAGAAAAAAAATGGTGGGTTTTTAATAYAAAGATTTTTGATGTGCTTTGATACAAATTTATTCGATGTGGAGGGGTATTTTGCATCTTGAAAATGGTATCTTCACCAATAAAAAAGATTCACTACATTTAACTATTGGTGTCAGCATTACATGTTAGAGTGCTGTTTTCAGTGATATGTGGCCATCCCTGTTCTATTTTACCTGCRACCGTTAAATTTAACAAAACAGAGTACAAGGTACTTGACTTTGCACTGATGTTAAAACACTTGGAAGATGTGTAATTAGCCTTGGGGATTTCAAGCATAGTTGACATCCCATCAAACTCATTATTCTTGGTGGGAGTCTAAGCAGCAGTATCAAGATTCAGCCAGCTTGTCATGGTGACTAACCATGGAACTTCCACACCGTCCCCAGTTTTGTTACTATCCAGGCTACTTACGAGACATAACAAAATGTTTGCATCACTTGAGGTTAACACAAAGTGAAATTGAATGTGGGAAATATTCTCTGTGTATTTCAAAGTATTTTAAATAAACCTTAGCCGTGTTCATTAAACTTTCATACAAACAGGTTTAAGGTTTAGTAGCTAGATTTGGTGTCTAGGTTAATAATACCGATAGCTTTGTGCTAATTTATAGACATCTCTTTTTTCAGTCAATATGTTTCAAAAACTTACGTACTGAACTCATTACAAACTGCAGGGGTGATCAAGTTAATAGGCGATCTGTTTTTTTCTCCCTCCCCACCTAGAAGAAAAACAGTGACATAGTTACTGTCACTGGGAAGGTCTTCTAAAGCAGGAATCAGTCTTGTACARCAAACAGAACACAAGGTCCAGGTGGCATTATACCATGCTCTATCACCTCTTTTAGTGCTCAGTAGACTCAAATGTCATTCTTAATGAAAACATGCATGTTTTCCTAGCATTTAAAACTATTTTGTTCTAACCTGCTTTAGAAAATTGGYATTTTATGCATGTGCATATTCTCTGTAAAATGTTATGTACAGTTAATTACCCAGACCTCCCATGCCCAATGGAGAAGCCTGCCACTAGATGGCTTTAGCACTAAACTGAGACCTGCCTGGGGTATAAGTATGAACAGGCCGAGAGAAATGCTGTTTTCCCTTTGTCAGTCAAGAYTCTTGTTCATGCAGTCCTGAAGCAGTGAAAGGTGGCCAAGATGTACACAACTAAAAGATTTCCATATGTGCTTTTCATTCATCTGCTGCTCTAGACTATCAGGCCGTGGGAATAAATGGGGCATACCTTGGCTATGTGGCTGTACAAACCAGACAGCAGTGCAAGGAACTGTAAAACACTCTTCRTACTCCAGTAGTGCTCAAGTCATACATGAATTTACCAGCATAATTTCCTACATTACCATGTGGGAAACTGYCAGCCATTACAGATAGCAAGGGAAAGACACAACCATTAGGCCTGCTTCGAGCTAGGCCTGATGATTAGCAGGGCCCCAGGCATCACACAGGCAATGAAAGGTGAGAAACTGCCAGACCTCAGATAATAAAATGGGAAGTAGGGGCTTTGTGGGTCACTGACCAAAGGGGAGGCACCAGGGCAACTGTATCATAAACACCAGAGAGGGATGTCACCAAAGCCATGGCCAGTGGCAGACCAGTAATGGAAGGTGTGAATAGGAGCTGGTGGCTTCTTTGGRAAGACAGGAGGCTGGTGAATGATGGGAACCTGGGAGAGGAGGAGGATATGAAGTGAATGCTGTAATCAGAGCCAGCTTCGAGAAGTTCATGCTATTTGGAAGAGGACTGCTCCCACTACACTCGTGACTGACTTCTGAGACTTGGTACCTTTTTGCTGGATTCTTGGCTGACCCTGCTCACCTGCTCTGGTGTCCTAGCTCGGGCATGGACGCGGCCACAACTCGTGTCAGGCTCGTGAGCAAATAGCCTGTGCATGTCACGATAAATAAAGTGCTTGTCCTTAACCAAGGAAGGGCTGCAAGGCTGGAGCATCTAATGAAATGTAAACAATGAAATGTAATCAGCATGAGCCAGAGCATCAAAACATTTCAGCATGCAAGGTGGCCATCAGCAGAGTTCTGGCAACAGTAAATGTAAAAGTAACTGCAGCTAATAAAATGRGTGTAGCTATACTTTTTGTTAGAAAACAAAAAATCACCCTCAAAATGACAGTTCATTTAAAAGTAAAACAAGGAAAAAAAATCTGGTAATTAAAAACATACAGCTCTTGCTTTGTAAATTTTGCAAGTAGTGTAATTACTGAGCTGAAAGCCTRATTACTAATTGCAACAACCAAAACTCATAGCGATACTGTGCCAGAATATGTACATTCATAAGCAAAAACATTTCAAAGATATGAGTACGTATGTAATTTAACTTAATGGTAGAATTTGGCACACAATTAAGGTGAAAACGTTAGATTAATTCTCTTTACATAAGAAAACAAGACACTGTATGTATGTTGGTAGTTGCATTYACCTCGACATGGAAATTATCAGGAAAATTTACTAAATGTTACTACACAAGAATAAAAACCAAAACATTTGACACTTACAAATTCTCATTTCCATAAAGCAAAAGCTTTATTGCCWGTATTTATATAAATAGGGTATCATACAGTAAGCCCCAGTTTACATTTATAAATGGAGAACATTTTGTAGAGCTCTTCAACAGCAACATGAAGTGTGCAAAAATACTGGAAAGAGAAATAAATATTCTAACAAAAAAGGAACTGCTCTCCCATGCCTAGAAATGCCAAGTAACTCTCAGATTTTTAACTTAAAAAAAGATCTTTGCCAATTCTAGATCAAAATAAATGCAGCAGATGTATTACAACATKAACGCTAAATATAACCCAAAGTCCTGAATGTAAACTTGTACATCCACAGAAAATGTTTCCACATTGTATCTTCTTGAAACTACTATTAGAGCACATAGAACTAGTGGTATATTACAATATATTCTCTTTTAAAACACCAATTTTCACAGTCCTGGCAAACAGTACCAGTTTATTGCTAGCATTCCATTTAGTATTTCATAGCACACAAGTGTTGAGTAACTCATATCCTGTAAATAAACACACACCAAGTAAACTGATGTTATTATCACATACCTTAAAACAGGTTTGGTTTTTTCCCTAATTTGAGTGAATTTTGTTGCCTACAAAATCAAGGACAACAATACCAATAAGCTCCTAGCAATGTATTAGCAAAATATCATTGATGTTCTCTCAAGTTAATAAATARTTTTAATTCCAGCTGGTAACATATCTAGAAGTACTCAGATCAATTACTTAAAATTGCAAAGCCTTTTGGGAGCAGATGGGTGTCTGCTAGTAACCAGAAGCAGGATTTAAATTGGTTGATTTCCACACTTCCCAGTATATTTCAGAAGTACAGGGAAATGCYGATTATCTCAAAGTCTTCAAATTTGTTTGTAGCCAAAACTCTGCATTTAGTTTAAAACTTACATATTTACAAGTCTCCAGTCCTTGAGATCTTCACAGTACTAAGTTAAAAATTTATCAGATACAACCTTCTATAGTTTACCCGCACTCTGCACTGAAACAGTCACATGACTTCTCAGGGAACTCTTCTCTAGGATACAGTCATCGCTAGGAGAGAAAACCCCCAAACTCTAACATTAAAATTCATGTCAGCTAGGTATGTTGGCTAATTTAAGTAAGATTTTGAATTGCAAAGACACTGCTTTACTTTCAACAAAACCTGTGAACGGAAAGAAATGGATTTTTCTTTAAAATAAAAATCCTTAGAATACAGTGAACAGTGGCACTTTGAACAAACGTACAAGGAAACGATCATTTGCATACAAGAGAGTGTGATCAAACAATGAACAGAGGGATTCACAGCATCACTTTGCCATCTTCTGAAGGACACTTAGCAAGTGTRTATTTTCAAGATCTGCTTTCACAGCACATAAACTCAACTTTTTTCAGTCCTCTGCATAAAGGCCACACACTGTACCTAGAGGCTAACTTCAGGAACACCTGCTTCCACCAAGCACAGTCATACACACATCATTTGATTGCAATTTTTTTTTTCACAGTAAGTCACAAATTACCTTTGCCTAAAATATATGCTTTGACTATGATGGTCATCCATTAGAGAGCCACACATTTTCTAACAGTATTTATGCCTGGACAGTCTCTGCTGGAACGAGATTCCCTGTTGTATCCAGCTGCATACACTTACAAGAGCAGGCAGAAACTGGGCACTCAGTATGGTCCCTAAATAGCAAYAGAAAAAAAGAAAAAACACGCAAAATAATTTTGCAATTATACATTTTAACTATGTGCAGAGGTGTGCTAGCTCAGCATCATAGTTCAGTTTTATTACTTAAACTTTATAATGATAGACACAGGGAAGGAGGCAAGTTCTACTCAAGGCATCACACACACATGAAATAACAAGATTTTAACATCAACTTACCTGAACCAGCTCAGCATATGCCCAGCATGTCCGCCATGCCTGCAGTTGTGACACCAAGTAAACCAGTTGTTGAACTGGGCTAACTTCTTGTCTTTGCTAAGATCCACTTTTTCATCTGACTTGGATCCTCCTGTGCAGAGGCAAACCCACCCCCACAAATATGACTGTAAATCATTACACCACTAAAATAWTTTTGAAATTAAGAACATTATATGAAAAAGCAGCCTGATCTTTTAAAAGAGAAGTCAGGAAAAATATTAAGACCTGGCAGAATGCAAAAAAAAAAAAAAAACGATCAGACTGCTGAGCTATTGCTTCACATCTTATGGACATGCTAAACTGGCCTATTAAACAAGTTTTACAGACAGAATMTCCTTCAATGGTGACTTATGCTTTAGTGATTAATTTATATTCCAGTGAATTATGGGCCTGTTCTGCTGCACATGAAATCATCAGCTTTAGAAAAAAAAAATCAACAAACTTTAACTTATGAATTGTAACAAGTACAATATAAAAGTCGTAACAAAGATCATTGAAAGAACGAGAAGAGATAAATAAACATGACAACTGCTCATGGCTCCGTAACAAGATTGACTTAAAAATATGGTCAAAATCCTTTTAATTTAGACATTGTATAATGTTGAGCCAAAGACATTTAGAACTARAAGATTCTAGTCATAATATCTCTTAGTTGTGACAGCATGACCCATGCTTTCTTTCACACTTATTGACAGAAACTACACATCTCTCTTCCTCTTCCAGCTAAAAATGAATTCATTTATGTTCCAAAATTTATGTAGCATCACCTCAAGAAAACACACGCCCCATTTCTTTCAGTAATAAAACTCACGATGCTGACCCTCGTGATACGTGAATCTTTATATCAATCTAACTATGGAATTTGACTGACAAACTCACTGGGAAGACTGCCAGAACCAGGTAACTGACCCTTAAGAACTGAAACAAAGGTTTCATCATAAAATTAGATGGRATGTAAACAAGTTCTCAACTATGGTCCTTCTCCCTTCAAAATKATGAGTATGAATATTTACAGTGTAAGCACAAATAGAAAAAAAAGTACAACAGAAGATCTTCCAATAGGAACTGCTAATTAGGCCTCTAACTCRTACTGCAGCTGAATAACTAAAACCCACTGTGCCATACCTGGACAGCTGGAAACTGGTGTTCCCATATTTATCAAGCAAAGTGCACAGCGGGGAAGGGGCTTACGGCAACCAGGACAGCTCGTAACTTTTGACTTGGTTGGTGAACCGCTGACTCCATATTGGCTAAAGCCTCGCCCCTGATGAGGTATAGCTGAACAGCTGTAAGAGATTGATTTTCCACAGAAATTGCAACTCACAAACACCTAAAGAGAACAAACGACCATTAATTTTCTTTGTTTGGTTCCACTTTTGCTCCACCTGTGAGTGAATCCATTCAAGCTAGTAAATATTTATTTACCAGATATTCTAGAAAGTGCCCTGGAAAGTCAAAGCTACTTGTGAAAGAGTTCTTAACATCTTGGCTTGCAAATGAGGTACACAGCACTGAGAAATACACCTTAATAATGCTGACTTAATTCAAAAGCACACAAAAACATGCATGATCGCTATAGTTTCAAAAGATATTATTAAAGATAATAAAAGCTACGTCTTCAATAAGGCAAGAAGTTGGGTTTATTCTATAAATACTATATAATTAAGTCTGGTCATTCCCTCCTTAYAGTGAGATGACTCATTCTACAGTCCCCAATGTAAGGATTATCCTAACATTATTTATCTGCATGCCTCATGTCACAAGCTTTGACTTGCCACCAAGGAGCACATATTTTAAACTCCTTAGGGCTATTTATGTTAWTCATAAGGAAGAAGGAAGAAGTAAAGGAAGAAGAAGTAAACTCAATTCCTTCCCACTTGGAATAGCTCTCCTTAAACAGCTGTAATGGATACATGAATTCAAAACCAGCCTTCYCAAGAAACCCTCAGGCCCTAAAGTTTGTAATGTACATACTCAGAGACATGATAGTAGAAGGTGCCATGGGAACATGTTGGTTAAAAATGCCACCAATGCTAAGAAGATAGTATTTGGGCAGGGCATCAGTTTTTGGGTCAGCRTATGTTCAGAACTGATAATGAAAGTTGCTGCTGTTCACTTCAGTTTCAGGTTCAAGGGCATCAAAATAACTTTGAGGTTTGTTTCCATTAGAACAAAGGCAATTTGAACTAGTTCCCTGGTTTCAGCATAATACATAATTCAGCCTGATACTGAATTCAACTGGATGATATATATCTGATTTCATCTTTCAACATGTGAGAGAAAAACAGCAAGAGAGTTTCCAGTTTCCCCAGAAGAAAAGTGTTGATGGATTACMGTTTCTGAAAGACCTTTTACTTCAAAAAAAAAGTAACACCTCTTTTTTTTTAGGGCAGGCTWAGTTGAAATCTTTCTTTTGCACATAAATCCTCATGAAAACCAAGATATGGCTGGCAAGGCTTTTTTTTTATTTTACAGAAGTACCATGCCACGTTCCTTTCTGGACTGGTTGTACTTCRTATAAGATTTATACTTACCTGGGCTAAAGGTTTTGAGCTGGGATCCAGCTTACTCCTGTGGATATCAAATTCTGCACGTTTATGCCAAAACCTCCAAGCATCTAAAAGATTCCTGTAGTTCTCAATCCAGTACTGAACCCTTTCATCTTTAAGTACCTCTGATGGAGAACCCTAAAGCAAGCAGAAAAAAATGTCAGACATACATTGAAGGCACACAATACACATTACTCACTTTCTCAACAGGCTTTACAAAGTGTACAACAAGATAYGAGAAATAATACAGTGTAAATTATCCTGAAGAAAATGAATTTTCTGTTAAACTGTAATGTGAGTTTGATAAAGGTTTTCTTAAGTTTCTCTCTGGTTGAAAATACTCGGGTTGCCATGTCCTCCTAAGAACTCATGTCTGTRAGATGAAGGATCAGAAGTTCTGCCACATATCACAATCTTTATCACTGTCGTGAYTGCATATGCAGTTAAATACACTGCTGGCAATAGCTGCTACTGTGTAAGGGCCAAGATAAATCTATTATTAAAAAAAAACAAAAAAAAACCCCAAAGCCTACAGACAAACAAAAAACCTCACCTGTGCTCTCTATCAAATTCCCAAAAGCAAAAAAAAAAAATGAAAATGTCAGGAAACACATCAGCAATAAGCAAAGAAATGGGTATTCCCAGCTAGTGAAAAGGATTTTCTCTTGTCTCTTTCCCCTAGTATTTCCTTACACTATCTCAACCAGAGAGTGTGAAGACACATGCTTATTATTCAAATGACTCCACAAAAGAAAGCAATTGTTCCAATTTAATACAGAAAATAGTGTAACAAGATTCAACATTACGCTGATAAAGAAACTATGATTAGTTCTCCTCTGTGAAGCTCTATTTTCGAGTGAAACACTYACCTGCAGCATGCAATAGCTTGCTGTCTGGACATCTCCAGTTCTGTCAACATAACTTTCCATCAAGTCAACTCCATCTTTTGTCAGCCCTGTTAACAGTATTCCCTCCAAATTCCCAGCCTCTTTCATTTCATTTGTCAGCTTTTCAATGAATCTGTTGAGCTATAAAAATACATATATTAAAAAATACATAAATATATGTAGAACCAGTGTCTGCTGCTAACAGAATAGACTGATTGCTGGATATTATGCAGAAAAAGTTAAATTACTACGTTATATGACACTGCATGAAATCAAGTGTTTATAAACAAACTTTAAGTTTCCTGATAGAAAATGCAAAGAGAGRGGTTAAGTATTCTTAGAATACGTTGGTGAGTGTAAAAGAAAACATTCCTGCTGTAAAACCAAACTTTGATTTGAGAGAACATAAACACCAGGAAATAAATACTTAATAAGTAGAAGTACTCTTCAGTTAAACAGGTGTACTGTTAATGCAATTGTATTTAAACTACCATGTAATGAATACTCACGAACACCCCCAAAACAACAACACAACCAAAAACCAAATCAAAAATCACGCTGAAAATACAAACTAAAAACCAGATTATACCATACCTGATATACAACTGTTATGAGAAAAAACAAATCGTTCATGACTCATTATTTCCACTGTTCATCCCTCTACTACAAGAGTTTCATCTGCTTCTGAAYAAAGACCAGTTTAAAAGTTTGCTTRAATGTGCAACCACAAACTTACCTGAGTATCATTGAGGAACTTACAAGCAAATGCCACTCTGTCTCGTACAGCTACGTTATTTTCATACTTTAAAGAGAAAAATGGTAATACTAACATCAGATSCATGTTTCCATTTTTCCAACACATTATAAAAATCAGAACACTTGCACTACCATCTAATTAATTCAATGAAATTGAATGTGTACAAAAAAAAGTTTGACAAGAAAGCTAACTCTAAATACCAACTTAATTCTTTGTACTCAGATACWGGTATCAGAGGAAGACTCCAGATATAGGAACAATCCACTGGGAAAGCCTGGTACAACATATCCTACATGGTTTATGAAACTCTACAAAAATAAACTTTGCAAGTCCTGTTGGGGACTTAGTGCTTCCAGCATGTATGGCCAGAGTCCCACCAAGTCACAGGCAGAAAAAAAAAAAAAGTTTCCTTTAAAATATTTACAAAATAACTAGCCTAACCACGGCATTCCTTCCTTAAATTGCAAATGAAAGTTAACAAGCAAAGCAAACAAATCACCCCAAGCAAACAAAAACTAATTCCAGTCATCCAGAACGACTTTCTTTGAAGTATATTAATACTTGAGGTTCAGCAGTGCATCACTATTTACTTTCTGCTTTTTTTTTTCTTTTCATTTTACTGGATGCAACACTGMAGAAAAAAAACACGTCTCTACATTAAATCTCATATTCAGCTGTGCCCATTTTTTCCTCCTGATATTCTCAGATTAGAAATTGTGACTGACATTGGCAAAAYCTCTTTAATGCATATATCAACAGTCTCATGAAGGAAAAATTAAAATTAAAAACAAACAGCACCTTATTATGTGTGAACTGCCAGTTCATTAATAAAAAACCTAGAAAATTACTACCCAACTTCCAGAGAACAACAATACTCTCTCTCTCAAAGACAGAAAAAAAAGGACTCAGGTTTCTCTCCTCTGGGATTCCAAGCATTTTTTGTTTTTCCYTAAAGGCATCATATTATGACAACTTTGGTTTCAACAGCTTTGGGCCAATTATGCTGCTGCATTACACGAGTCCTCTCTTGGGCTAAGTAACTCCTACTGAATCGAGTATGTCTATTCTCTAACCAGCAATCAAGTATATTAACTCCTCCAAAGGCTCAAAGYATCTCATGATTAAAGACTTAGTTTGCAATTATGTATCAGTTTCAGAAGACTTGGAACTACTCCACTGTTTCAACACAGTAAAATCATTTTTAACAAGTAAGCAAGGGAAAATAAAGTACAATTCAATGAAAAAATAGCCTGATTAAAGTTCTGCAAACTCCCCTGCATTTAGTCTGCTTTTTGTAATTCCATTATTAATCTCTCTTCTGTTTMTTCCCATTGCTTATATTATTTTGATAATGTATTTCTAGTGATTTAATAAGTCCATGCTAAAAATTAAATTTCTTTTAAAAATGTGTTAATTATAATGGATATTTTGGCTGTTTATGCATGATTTCTTTGCTAACATAATACTCACTAATATGAGATGCCTGATTAGCAGAAAKATGCTATTTGTCAGCATCAGGATAAAAGAATACATTCTAATTTGACATGCATAAAGAAATTTTAACCTAACAGAAATTTACTCACCAAAACACCATCATATGAACCAGACTCACTCGTCAGGAAAGCAAACATAGCACACAAGTAGGGATTGTTCAACTGCAGCCTTAGAGTACTGCACATTTCTCTCCAAAGYGAGTTCTTCTCATCTGTGTAGCCTGATAGAGCCATCGCTACTACATTAAGGTTCAGATCACCTGATTTATGAGAAAAAAATCAGTAAAACAACATTATTCAAGTTAAGGACTTAAAAAAGAACCAGTTAAAACTGTAATAAAAGCATCCATTTGAAACATAGTATTTTCTCAGGAATCAGYCCAAAATGCAGTAGAATTAACATTACCTAAAATTAATGTGCATCCACTATAATATATAGGAGCTTTTGCGTTAAATGCCTCTGTTAAGGTAAGTTAGCATCTACATGCATGACAGCCTCTTTAAACAACACCACACTGTTTCTGGTATTTTGAAATAGCTACCATAAATGACTGTCATTATCGTAATTCATATCCATAAGAARTGAAAAGCCAGGATTGTATATCCAGCCATCGCTTAACAGACTTAGCTGGAGGATGACAATTTTATATAACAGTTTCAAGCTAAGAAGTTTCCTAAAAACGTGAAAACTATTTCATCTAAATATTCATTCTGTCAGAAAATGTAATTTTATCCTTGAATTTGAAAATAATGTGTCTCCACTCTGAATTCTCCCTGTGGAAAACACAGACAGTCCTTCCCCCAGCAATTCCATTAAAATAAAAAGAATCCCRCTAGTCTGAACATATGTCTTTCATATGAACATATCAGATTTTTTATAGCAGGAAATTCTGAAACATATGATCTATTTAAACTAGACAGTATAGCATATGGTAGCCTGATGAATGAAGTATCAGGATTTGTCRAGTTCCAACGCATGTGCTTCAAGTAACAGTTTTATAATAGAAAAGGCATTCCTTCCATACTATCTTGCATAATTCTGTTAACAGAAAAAAATCTACTAATGTGATATAGTGCCAAAATAAAAGATTTAACACAATACACACCTTTTCCTGAGGAAGCCCCTTTATTCAGAATTTGTATTGCTCGCCTTATGTCCAAGTTGAAAAGAGCTACAGCAGCAGCTCGCTCCCAGTCTCCTTCCTGTTCCAATGAATTTAGGAAAGGTTCCACATCTAAATCTGTTCCCTTCTTTATCCACCCACAGAGCTGCAAAGCCAAAGATCTCTCCTCACTCAGATACTGAATAATATCTGCCTGTCTATCAGATCCACTCCTACTGTGCCTGAGGTTCTCTGTTGTTCCTAGAAATGGGAAATAAGTTAAATTACAYTTAAATCACAATTTCAATTGCAATCACAACACAATGCTTTGATTTCAATCATAAAGCAGGGTATGAAAGCTCACTATCACATTTTAGTACTTTAACATTGCTTACAGCTCCATGGTAAGGAGCAGCATGCACAAAATTATTTTGATCTGCTAAAATTATGCACCTTAGCTTGACACATATTCCTCAGCCTTTTTTTTTTTCTTCTACCACTTGGTACATTTGACAGGAGTTTTCAGTATGTTCAAACTGAAAATACATAATACAGAATCAAGCACCTGCTCTACCATTTCTCTTCTTAGCCAACATCAATGTGTTAACTTTCCATCACTGAAGACTCAATTTTTGCTCCAGGGAGCATATCTATTAATAAGAGATGTAYTGAAGAGAGAGGAAAATATTCAAATAATAAATTATACTAAGAAAAACTTCAGCAAGCATGAGAGGCAGAATGTGATGAACCAGGGGYGAGCACCACTTCAGAATAGGTCAGCTTACTTAAATATAGTTGTACATAGTACATTAAGTATAAYGTACTTAACACATTAGCAATGACTACAGCAGAGTCACCTTCCTACACCCTGATGTGGACCTTTTCTAAAATATAATAGTTATTTGTGAAGGAAGAATCCTTAGTGTCATAGTCAATGCTCAAATGCTTGAAATAGTTTCAAAATTTACTTCTGAGGACACTATGCTTTTACAATTACTGACTTTCCAAGAACACTGAAAACTCTGGAAACTACTGTTAACTTACATTATTAAAACACAAATAGAAATACTCTGTTTCAATATTTTTAAATAGCCTCTTTGAACAATTTTYAAAGACAAAACCAYGAGTACATCATTCTGCAAACATACTACAACAGTACTTAGCAAAGTTGGAACATTCTTACCCAAAGATGACTTCACAATTGATTTAATGCCAGCATAAACTAAGGGACCTTTGTTTCCTGTTAGTTTTTGGTCCATATCTTCAGTATACTGCTTCATAAGTATTTTCATGTATAGGAAGCTTAATTTTTTCCAAGTGTTTGAAAAACTATTGTTAGCAATTTAAAGTCGCATCCTGTTAACATATGCAAAGTATTTACAGGATGTTGCATTGTATTTAAAGATTTTAATGCATTTTATATAAATGGTTTACACATAAAGGTATATTACATCCTTAGGACAAAAACTACAGTAAAATAAAGGATATAATGCAGAGTGTACCAAAGCGATTTCAGCTGAGGATCTTCATTTCCAGCTAGGAGGTGATTTCTCCAAACTTGTTCAGTATCAAGACCATACCTTGACAGAGCTCTGAGCCGCATTTTGGTTGCTATGTCTTTTTCCAAGGAACTAGCCTTTCCTTCTTCTGTACACTCATACAAATGTCGTCCACAAGCCCACATTAAGGATGTCACTGGGCTCCATGCAAGAGAAATTCTTTCAAAAACTGTGAAGTCAGACATAGTCCTGTTGGGAGTCACTACTACCATTCGATTTTGACTTGTGGGATGCCAGGCAAATGAAGCAATGTAATTTTCACACGGTTGGACACTTCTTTCAATTATTGTCGGCTCAGTTTCATCTCCAATAGGGGTGGGAGTATGCTGCATGTCATACAGTCTAATGATATTACTATCCCTTGTTAAAGTAGCTAACAGTCCAGTCCTTGTTGGACACCATGCAACTTTTGTTAATGGTTTTGGTTGCTCTGTCAAGGTCAAAACAGGCTTTTCAAACTTTCTTAAATCCCATATGGCAACTTGACCTTCATAGAAGGAAGCTACACGATCGTGGAAATAGGGATCAACAGTCACTCCTTGGACAGCCTTGGTGTTCACAAATATTTTTTGGCTYGTGTTCCTCAGATCAAAGATAGCCAGATTTCGATGCATTCCAGCTAACAGCAGCTTCTGATCCCGTGGAAGCCAACAGAGGGAGAGACAAGCATCATTCTGTCCTAATTCATACAGAGGTTTTGTTACYACAAGACCTGCATCCGCATCTCCTGCTGAAAGCCTTACTTTCTCTGTAGCAACTGCAGTCTCTGGGGCATATTTGCTGCTGATATCCCAAATCAGYACTGAAAAGTCAGCCCGATGTTTATCTAACCCAGCAGCAAGCCAATTGCTATCCAGTGGGTTCCATGCGAGGGTGTTGCATTGCCGGGCGTGTTTGGGAACAAACTCTTTGCCTATCAAATCTTTCGATTTCGAGTTGTGATCTTGACCAAGRCTGGTGAGTACCACTCGACCATTGGCCTGTCCAACAGCAAGGAGACATTCAGGATCATACTTGGGATACCACGCCACACATTTCATGTACGGTGTATCCGAATTTATTGACAGTAGTGTAGCTGTGGTTTCTTCTGACAACCGCAAGGACCCTGCCTTGAGTTCTGAACTTACAGCAGAGTCGATGTGATAAAGGCTCAGCTCTGAATCGCACACAACAAATCTGTCAACGTGGTGTGGGGCCCACAGGATATCGGGTTTGGAGCCACTCATGGTTAGGTAAGTTTACACACAATTTAAGCTCTGGTAAGAAGATTCAGGTGATATCCATGCATATGGAAACTGTTGAGAAAATAATKTGTAAGAACATTATCAAAACCCAAGTTCTTTTTCAATCTGAGATCACCATTAAACAAACTAAACCAAATTACTTTTAGACCAAGAGTTTAGCTCGTAATACATTTCAGGCCAAATCCTTAAGCATTTTCTGCTTCTTCCTCACAGCACATGTTGGTTTTGCTGGTATGCATGTACTCAAACAGAACCAACACAGACACATACAAACTGATGTCAGCAGGATTTGCTCTGTTTACAAACTCCACACCAGTATTAAGCAAGAAGAGATTGCCCAAGATGCGATCTGGCAGGATACGTAGGTGCGCCGCTGGGAAAGAGCCACTCCCTCMAACATCGAGAGGAGAATTTCCCTGCCTAATTGAAAAGCATTAACTGACAAAAATTAAGAGTCTGTCTGTTTGTTTAAAGCCCGCTCCATAGCCTAGAAATCWGAAGTTGTCCAGTTACTACTTCCATTTCYAATTTTTATTTCAGSAAATTTCAAAGAGCATTGAAAACAAAAGGAAAGATTGCAACAGAAATACAGATCTTCATCTTATTGTACAGCTCCTAACCTCACCTCCTGCCCCAATGTAACCTTGCCTCCGTTCGTATCTGGCCCAGCAACATTCAAATAGGCGCATTCCTGTCAAAACWCTATTTACACTTCCGGTAGCTGCATGCTCAGAATCCCTACACGTGCCTTCATGCAAACAGACCCCGCAAATCATACACACCACTTTTATAACTGYGGAAAAGGACATGCAAGGTCGGGAGGTATGAAAAACCAGCATTATTTACTCTACTTGGGCCGGCTCCGTGTGCCTGCAGGTCACCCCGCCGAGGTGGGCGCAGGGCCCACGGCCGCAGCCCGTTCCCGGCAGGAGACGCGGAACGCGGAGGCGGCGGCAGGAGCGGACCGGAGCCGGAGTAGCACCACCACCCTCTCTCCCTCCCGTTCCCCCGTTCCCGGGCGCGGCAGCCGCTCACCCAGCCCATGCAGCCTCAGCCCGGACACCGCCGCCCGCCGGCCCCGCCGCCCGGCCTGGGGAACGGGAAGCGCGACACAGCTTCCGGCGGAAGTGCCCGTGCGCGAGGGGCGCTTCCGCTGGGCGGGGCYGCGCGCGCTGTTCCGGTCAGGCCCGCGTTCCTCCCTCACGGTGGGGAGCGGGAGGAGAACGGGAACCGCCTTCACTGTCCGTGTGGGGAGCGCCTCAGGACCACGGCCGGGGCGGGCCCAAGAGGAGAGAGGGTCCCGGGCCCGAGCGGGGACAGTCCCGGGCCCAAGAGGAGAGAGGGTCCCGGGCCCGAGCGGGGACAGTCCCGGGCCGCAGAGACCCGGGAGCCCCCGAGACTCGGTCCTGGCCGTGTGCTCTAGGATGGCCCTGCTGGAGCAGAGCACCACTGCGGTCCCTTCCAGCCTGAAACGTTCTGTGATTCTGTGACCGCAAAGAGCGTGTAATTCCATGGATAACTCCCAGTCCCGTCCAACCTGGCCTGGAACATTTCAGGGATGGGACATGGMAGCTTCCCTGGGCAGCCTGTTCTAGTGCCTCACCACCCTCACTGTAAAGAATGTTACTCTCATATACAATCTAACCCTACCGCCTCTTTCTGGAGAYCTACTGAAGCAGCCAAGGCACGGGGTTTTGGGACTACGTGTCACCTCTGGGCAACTTCTTCCAGTATTTGATGACACAGTACATATAAGTCATCTGTGAAAAAAAAAAAAAAAAAACCCCACGTTTTTCCTCGCTCCTCTGTGATTAGGATTTCACTGTTTTTCTGCAAGCCATGGAGATGGGAACATTTACCTTTTTCCTTTTGTTTTCAATGCTTTTCGAAATTTCCTGAAATAAAAATTAGAAATGGAAGTAGTAACTGGACAATTTCAGATTYTCTCAGAATAACTGAGTCCTTCTTCATATACAAACACTTATATTTGGCCTGGAAAAGTTTAAATATCACATTTTTAATGTTTTCTTTGGCACTGTTAGAGTCAGGACATTAATTCCTTGCTTTAGCTGCTTCTCTTACTTCTTTTCTCACAAAAGAAAGGATCTGCATAGACTTTGGCTTCCATATTAAATATTTTTCTATGTTCTCTTTTCAATTACTATTGAAAATAGTAATTTCTAATATATATAATACATAATTTCTAATTGTCTTTCCAATGTTTTTATAACTTCCCAAAACTTTTGAAAGAAAACATATGATAAACCATTATTCRTCCATCTTTTCAATAATCTCCAAGTATTCAGCCCCTTTAGTTTAAAAATGTGTATGGAATGTCTTTGTATTAATGTCTGTTGTCTTTTTTCTTGTCTCTAAGCATACTGGAGAGTTTGTATTATTCAAGAAACTACATTTTATGTTTTAAATTTTCTCAGGGTTCATTAAATTAGGCCACAAATGTGGTATAATGGTACAACAATTAGTTGTCTCAGATTTCATTCTAATATTCCTTCCACTTTGATAGCACTTTTCCTCATAAAACCAGCTGGTTTTTTCCTTAATAACAGTAATCTTTAAGAGCTCAGCAGTTGCTCTGATAAATGAAATAGGCCAAACAGTGTGGAATAATTAAAAGTAAATTGAGCAGTCTATCATATATCAAAGGCAAAATTGGCTGCCTGTATTTTCATGCTTATCTGTTTTGTTTTTCATCCCTCCATTTCCTCTGCTACTGTTGAAATGGGACATAGTGACTTTTTCACATCTGTTTCAAATAATCACCTGCTGGTTCTTTTTATAACAAAGATGAAATTCAGTTTATGTGTTCCTAACATTTTTCCATGGGAAAGTGTGGGAGTTTAGTTTATAAGTGTAGTTAATACTTGCAGTAATCACTTTATCTAACTTTGATTCCAAGAGTAAGTTTTTTAGATTCTAGGGAATCAGCAGCTGAACTATCTGACATCTTGGTATTTTTTGAGTCCTAATGATGGCCCAAATCCATTACTAATAAATACACAAGCTACAGAAGGGGTGTTTCCTGTGTTTTTGGCACAAGAGAGATTAAGATAAATTTAAAAATRAAAGATTCTATTTTGAACCAGTAAATGCTGTTACTACAATGACAGGTACAAAGTAAGTTAATAGAAACGAGCTATTTGGTGTTTCAGAATGCAAAAGGATGTTACCACCTCAGAGACCACTGTGTCACAGTTACTAGTTCTCATGAACTAATAACTTTTGGGACAAAGATGTTTTATATTTGGACATTCTGCCACACACAGTAATTTTATTTCCTGTGTTGGTCTCAAATACTGCAGCAGTATTTCATYAGTGAGGTTGCGAATTACTCTAATGTTTCTGAACCTTTTAAACTCTAGGATCTTTGCTTCTGTTTTCCATGCATTGATTTACTCCTTTTAGTTTGCATGTAGCTGTCTCCACATTTGTATCTTTGTCCAAAAACAGCATATTGATTTGTCAATAATGCAGAATATTGTTTAGTTTTGAGGCTGGACCTAGGTGATTATTCATCTCTCCACCATTGCATAACAGCTGCTTTTTATATTTCCTTATTCGTTGTAACTGATATGGTTAAATAAACTTGCACATTTAAACCCCCAAACCACTAAGGATCTAATTCAGCTTGACTTCCATCAAGTCTTATTTTAATCATACACTTTTTGGCCTCTCAGATGTTGCACACACTTGTGATCAGTCGCTGTTAAATTCCTTGTAAGATCTGCTTATTTCTAGTGTGAATTTCTRTGTGACAATTGCTTTCATGCAGTTYTATCTCMAACTATTTTTAGCAATTTCTCTTCATGGATGATCTATAAATTTTTCTCTTTTTTGCTCTGACCGCAGAATATTCCAAGTTTGCTCTATGTACAAGTCTCTGAATKCTTTGAGACTTTTTAATCATATGGAGACTTCATTCAGTGGAAGCTCAGTTTTGAGCTTGTTTTCTTCTTTAGATGTGTTAAAATTCATTATATCAAGGTCTACAAAGATTAATTAATATTTATTGAGATATTAACTGGAAACTTTTTTCCCCTACGACTTTGTTATGTTTTTTTCATATTTTATTCCTTGAAGGCTGGCTTTTCTTTTAGCTTATATTAACCTCTGAGATTTGTTGTATTTGTCTGTGTCTGACCAAGGGGAACTGGCCAAAATAGCTAAATCCTTTCAGGAATACAGAATTTAAATACTGCTGGAGTTTTGTGTGTTGAAGTGGGTTGTTAGCACTGATTTTTAGACATGTCAATTACCAGTATAGTTATCTAAGTCGACTGCTGCTCTTCCCTTTACAAAAAAAAAGAAAAAAAGTATATAATCTGGCATTGCTATTTTTAAGATTACTTCTGGTTTGAATTATGATTACTTAAACTTGCAGAAGCTGTTGCTTAACAGAGCCTAGATGACTGTTTCAAGTGTACTGTTGTACTACTCCAAGCCATGATGCATACCTGGTAGTATTGCTTTATCTGATTTTTGGTAAGAGAAGAAATTATTCATTACATAGGGAGTTTGAAGCTGGAGTTCAAACCTCTCAATCTATGTAAAATATATGTCTCTTTAAAAGATTCCAAATTAAACTGATTCAGCAGTGTGATTGCCGAAGTTGTAGGCACAGGTTGCAAAACTGTTTCCTCCAGRCTTTAGTATTTCTACTGAAAATTCTTATATTTGCATAGATCATACTTTCACTCTTTATATACGTTGGTATTATCACTCCATTTTATACAATTTCATGCTAAAAACATAATGCAGGTTACTGTATTCAAGTGCCATATATTTTCATGGTGAAAAACTCTCMGAGGATCCAGTAGGTCCAGTTGGTCCACCAGATCTTTCACCTTGGTCATTCATTAATTGAGGCATTCAAAATTATAAACCTTTTAAGTAAGGAAGGTGACCCTTTTTTGATGGCAGAATGGCCTTTGTCAACTGCACTGGTTTGGATAAGAGTGAAAAATCTCTCAGCTTCACTTGATCCATTAATATTAGTGTTGGTTGCTGTACTTTTTATCCAGTGGGATGCATAGAAATGTGAATGAGGGGAATTGAATTAAAGACAGATGAATTTCATGAGCGTATTTGTTTTCTTTTGAAGATAATTACTTCATTTTATTAATTGAAAAACTGATCTGTGGAAGTGTAGAAATTAATCTGCTACCTAATCTTTTTAGGTTATCCAGGCTCCTAAAGAATACTTGGACCAAAGGGATTGCAAAGTTTGGATGTTCAAGGTCCAAAGGTAACYTGTGAACACAATCATGGGTTTAGAAGGATAGAACAGAGGATATATGTGACAGGGAATAAGGCTTTTTGTGTATCAGATCTCGTATTCTTCTAGGAAAACTCATTAAATAAAAGGTAGCTCTTCAGTTTTGATCACTCTAGGCTGTTAGAGGGAGAACTCTTGAGTTATATCATACGTTATGATAAGCAGAAATATAGAGAATTTACAAAGGATTATTTAAAAAAATTTAAAACTAAATATGCTGTATTCTAACAAGATTCCATGTTGCTGAGCCTGACCAAAGCCCATTCAAACTGACAAATTTTTGTAGCCACAAAATGGCGACACAATGGATGCTGTAACGGCTGCACATGAAAACTTAGATCATCATTGCTTTAAGCTGTTGGTGAACTAAAAAATGTGCACAAATTATTCTAAATTGGCATTTTGAGTGTTTTTTGGTGTTGTGGGTTTTGTGGGGTTTTATTTTATTGGGGGTTTTTTGTTGTGTTTTTTTTTTCTTTTCGGGGGTGGGGATGGGGGTGGCGTTGAGGGTATGTGTTTGTCCTTAAGTGAGTCTGGTCCAAACAGGAATTGTGGCATTTCAGGAACAGGACTGCCAGGAAGTAAAGTRATTCTGTTTTGAACAGTTACTGTTTTAATCCTTGCTCCATTTTCTTATAAATGTAAGTAATCAATTACCTTAATACTGAGGTAAACACTTCTAAGGCCAGTACTACCTAAGTGATGCATCAAGAGTGTCATTTCACTTCTCTGACAAGCTAGAACTGTATTTACTTCGTCAGTTCATACTGCCTTGCCAGTGCATTCACTTTTGGC